CAATGAATGTGATTTTAACCGATGCCCAGTAACTTCTGTGTGTACTAATTCACCAGGTGATTTCCTATGTACTTGTAATAAAGGTTACGAAAAAATGGAGAAGACAGTTTGCCGAAGTAAGTTTTTATTTGTCTTATATTAGTAGAACTTCTGCAAATATTTATCTGTGGTTTTCAATCTTTTTGATTTGATCATGCAACGGGGAGAATATGAGATTGAAAAGTTTAATAACTATTAGCAACTTACGGCATCCTGGACAATCTGTCATCTTGAGAGCACTGACAAGCACTATCGTGTCCGATGAGCGCGAAATGCAATGTTCATGACTCAATATGTTTTATAATCTTTCCGCAGATATCGACGAATGTGTAGAAGTGCAATATCCTAATAACTGTGACCTCAATGCTAAATGTTTTGATACAGAAGGATCGTTTTACTGTAAATGTAAACGTGGTTTCCGTGGTGAAGGAACAAATGGAACGTGTGAAGGTAAAATATATTTAGATAAAGCAGTATGACCTCTCAAAGAATTGCATTTATAATAGAGTGAATTAGGTTATCGACATCTAATGCAGAAAAATGGCAGAAAACCGAATCACACTAATTGGTATTATAGAATAGAAAGTATGAAATTTTGGATAGTCAGAATGCCATCACTTGCACAATATGGTCAATCAATGATTTAATTAATACCACATAACTTTAATGAAAATTTATCTTAATTTGTAACATAACAGGTGTTGGTATCTGTGCTTGTTTTGGTGATCCACATTGTATCTCATTTGATAATAAATGGTTGGATTTCATGGGTGATTGTCAATACGTTATGGCTCAGGATGGATGCGATGGATCTGAGAGGACGTTCGCAGTTTGGACACACAATTGGGACATGAATAGAGATATCCAGGGAATAACATGGGTTAAAGATGTTACAGTTGTAATTGGAGACACGGTAAGCTTCCAAAAGTGTTTCAAATAAAAAACAGGAAAATCAATACAATTGGGCACATGGAATCAACGTGTTCCGCAGGGTTTGCATTATTTATGGATTGATTTATTTTCACTTGCATAAAGTGGTCCCAATATTTGCTTCATAATGATATTTTTATTACAGAAAATCTTTCTTGGTCCAGACCGTGTGATACGTATAAATGGAAGAGAATTTTTAGGGTACAGAAAAGATGGTATTTCAGTTGATGACAACGGTAGAGAGGTTGTAAGTATGCGTAGTTGACCTTAATAGCGGCTCCTTCAGGAGATGGCTTCAACTTCAATTTATATTGTTAAGTGATCCATCAGGGGCGTGAGTCGTACCAAACCCAACAAGGCTCTTATAATGATAATTGCACGTTAAGTTGTATGCATCAGTGTGCACTGTAACTTCATTCCCATTGAATGATTTTTGTCGCACTAACTAACTCAAACACATACCAAATAGTTAAGCATGTATTAAAACTGTACACGTATTGTTCTTCATGTGTTTTAAATGTGTTTAAATCGAAGGTCATCACAGCTGATTTTGGTTTGGAAGTAGCATGGGACGGAGGTGATGAAGTAGAGATATTTTTAGATAAATCTTATGTTGGTAAAACTTGTGGAATATGTGGTGATTTTGATAGTGATGAAGATAATGATTGGAGAATTGGTGATTATTGTACGGCTGCTAAAGGCCAAATTGTGAGTAGAGATATCCTTTATTGTAAAAAATTATATGTTATGAATGACAAAAATCGTATGATATATATAATTTGCAGCTACAGTGTTATCGAGCAATCATACTCTTAACAGGGTAACTATAGTATCCATCCAAACAGTTGGTTTTTTGAATGAGTGTTTCTTCTCACTATACAGTGTCGACAAACCTGCAACCCCGATATCCTTAAATTAACCTTGAATCCGGTGATCCGGTTTCCGTTCCCACACGGCCGTGATTGGCAACAAATTATCCAAGTGAATTAGATTGTCGTATTGGTAAACCCGAGTGCAATTCTTTGTATTATTGATTTATCCATTATTATACTTCACTTATCCTTATACTACAGTATGTTTCTATATTCCAGACACCAAATGGCAACATATTTGGTCATTCGTGGGTAGTACAAGACTATTTAACAGAGCATCCCACTTGTGTGGCTGATTGTAATGCTGCACCAACAGATTACAGTGGTTGTAGTGATACGTTATATAACTATTATTGTGATAGAGTTTTTGATCCAGAAATATCACCATTTAAGGTTATCTATTTATCCATTTCTATTTTCATGGGCATTTAGACTGCTGCTGATTTATTTTTGTTTGAATGAAAACATAATGGGGCATGGTTAGATAAATCACTATGATTTTAAATTACAATAAAAGATCATGGATGATAAATTGGCGTCATTTAGTTGTTAAATTCAATTTAGAATGGAACGCCTGTTGCCTCTCTCTCAGGCGTCAGATGCACATGACAATCGATATGTTTTAGGGCATTGTCTGTTCCATACTGCTTATCTTATAGTTGTTTTTATATTTGGTACAGACATGTCTGGAAGTTATGGATGAACCTCTTAGAGACAGATTGAAGTCTACATGTCTATTTGACATTTGTCAAGTATCTAATGATATTGAACTGGGAATGTGTGCCAGTGCTGAACGTCTAGTCAATGAATGCAATAAGAATTTAGACACAGAAACTGGACTATGGAGGAAATTGGGCTTCTGTGGTAAGTATGATTAAAAGTCGTCTGAAATATAGATCAGCTTGGTCTAAATTTAGTGGCGACAGTCAAGGTTTCAAGAGCGTTGTGAAGAATGTCCGTTGCTGATGTTACTGTTACCTTCATATTGATAATATCTGCACGGATAAAGTTACCAACGGTCTTTACATATAAATTATTGTTTTTGCTGCTGATACAAAGGCGAATCGAATGTTCAAGGTTCGAACTTGACAGTTATATGCTTTGGATTGGAGAGTGGTTAGAAGGGCATTGGTTATATGAACGTTATCAGTTATCATATATTAGTGTTTAAATAAACCTTAAAATGACCCTCTCTTCAGAAATTCAATGTGGAAAAAATCAAGAATATAGGACTTGTGGTCCTAGAGGATATCCAGCCAAAACAAGACAGCCGTTATGTTATGATATTAGAACACATAGTCCAATTCATCTATTGGAGTATTGTGCTGAAGGATGCTATTGTTTACCAGGCTATATTTTAGAAGGAAAAGACTGTGTTCTACCTTCAGAATGTGGTTGTATTGCAGACGGTGTATACTTATCTGTAAGCCTCTTGCTTTATATTTCATGTCATGCAATGATGTACCAAAATTACTTGTCAAATCTGTTAAAACAGAACGGTATAACAGAATAACGTAACGTGAGCCACTTTAATGTTTCATCTGGTTCTTGATGGTCTAAATGTAGATCATATAAATTCGAATGCGGCTATGCTCAAATGACTACCTAGTACCCTGAGATTACCACGAGCAGGGCACCATAATCTGGTTGTATGTGACAGAGTTTTCAAATGTTATCAAAACTGGCCCAGCTAATGATTTTCATAGCATGAATTTTCACAAACTAACATTGCATAAGCATAAGTGTCAATATCAAAAAACGGATGTCTGCGGCTGACTTTCTATTCTGGAATGAATCTCTGATTGATCCAGTCTTTTATTTTAATCGTATAGGTTGGTCAAACCTTTATCAATGATGACTGTACAAGTACTAGAAAATGTTTATCAGGTGGTAATACGAGTGATATAACTATAGCTTGTTCTCAGTTCGCTACTTGTGGTCTAGATACTGTCAATGCTGTATTTGGATGTAATTGTAATGATGGATATAAAGGAGATGGAATAAACTGTGGAGGTAACGTGTTATTATTTTGTTAATTTTAACATCTCTTAAGTTCTCAAATTTTTGGGACTGTTTTATCGTTTTCTGCAACAAAGCAAAGATACAAAATTTAAATGTTATTCAAAGAGGTTCCTCACTGCTTTTTTGTTGTGGTTAGTAGATCCCTGGAAAAATACCGACAATTTGATTTTTCTAAAAGTTTCTAGCAGTTGTTAAAAATCCAAATTCTCCCATCTGTCGTAAGGTCTACCTGATCCCTCTCTAGATAAGCAACAGTTTGCTGTGTATGTCTGTTTGTGATATTTTCAGAGGACAATTGTTACAATGTAACCTGTGGTAAAAATATGGAATGTGAAAATGCTATTTGTCAGTGTAAGAAAGGTTATACAGGAGATTGTAATAACTGTGAGGGTGAGTCGGTTCAATTCTATATATTTATTACAAGGGCAAAACTATCACCGTGTTTCTGAATTACAAAGTAAAACTTCGGTGCTTATGTTTCTCTGCTTCTATTTATTGAATTCTTCAGGGTATTGACTAATGCTGAAGTCACACGATAACATGGCGAATCTATTAATGCAGAAATGATCTATTAATAAGTAAAGGTGTAGGCCAACAACATCTAATTGCTTTTTATTGGGCAAAACTGACATGTAGAAGCGTCTAACGTTTCATTCTTCCAAAAGAAACAGTGGCATTTGAAAAACACTTCATTTTATTTTATCATACTTTACAGACATAGATGAATGTGCCACCCAAACACATGATTGTATTCATATTGGTCAGAATTGTACTAACAAAGATGGTGGATATGAGTGTGCCTGCATCAAGGGATATGTACCTTATGGACACTATTGCTTAGGTATTGCATCATATCATTAAAACTTTAGTGTTCTTAATGTCACCATGCTTTAATAACATCACATTTCTCTATTTATCGCGACTGCTAATGGCGGATTGATTTTTCTTAATAATTTGATCTCTTTAGTCCGATCAGTAGAGTCTGGTGCTTTTCATAATTAAAGACCACAAGACAAGGAGAAAATCTAAAAGCTAGTCTGGTTCATTCGGGACACTTTAAAGATAGATCAAGAGATGATGTGTATATCAAAATTGACGTTGGATGCTTCTCTAGTAAATGTGTATGGTGTAAAAATCACATTAATTTGATTTTGTTGACAGATATTGACGAATGTGAAGCTGGGTTTGACAATTGCGGAGATCATTCAGAATGCGTTAATACCCATGGCAGTTTTGAATGTAGCTGTTGTGCTGGTTACAAAAAAAGTGGTGATAATTGTGTCCGTAAGTATTCACATGCGTAAGTTTCGTTGGGCAAAGGACGCAAAAACAGCAATAGAATTTAAATCACATTAATTGAAACAAAATGTTTATTCGATATCATTTATTTGTGTTTACAACTATGACATGTATAATAAAACTGCTATTTGGTTTGATAGAATTGGTCATTCGTGTTAATTTATGTCAAATGTCTGTTGTATTAGGGGAATATCTGACGACCTGACTGCCTACTAAGGTATATCATCGATAATAATAATAAACAACTTTTAAGTAATCTTAAAATAACATTATGCAATTAATTTGTACACAAAATTTATTCCAGTTGATGGTACATCAGCTACAAATGGTGCTAAATGTTGTTCTTGTGCCGGAGAGGGTTGTAGTACAGATGTTAAAGTATTTTATTAATGAATAAGCTTTCTAAAATCCCATGTTGCCTGGAATTTCATGCTATTTAGAAAAAGTAAATGTCCCGTCAACAGAAGCAATTTCTTGGGATCAATTGAAATTTACTTACGAGTATTATTCAAGTAGGAATGCTTTTGAAATAGCACGTTCAAGATATTAGTAATAATTTGGTTACCGGGAAAATAAGTCTAATCTTAAAGGGTATTGTGCTTGAGTGTCATTAATTTGTTTTTATCTTATTTTATGTACTGTTATTTAATCAAGGTTTGTGCAGAAAATGGTACCACATATCCGCATGAAAAAGCATTACGTATAGCTTCATGTAGAAATGACTTCTTTGTAGATATCAGTTATTATGGACAATGCCAAGGTAAATAATACGTAATAAACAGCATTTCGCTCTTTTGAGTTCCATCGTGCACTATACATATAACTTATTGCTATATTGGTTTCTTTGTGAAGATAAATTGTACCATGAAATCTGAATTCCGTTTTGAAAGCTGTAAGATTTTTTCTGATCATTTCACTTCAAGATGGAAATTATGTATATTTATGTTACATTATAGCCGATTGTACTGGTGTCATTTGTGAAAAACCGTACGAAGTTTGTTCCATCGACCCGTTATATAACAAAGCTATATGTGCTTGTCCAAAATGTGACGGTTCTGGAGGTAATGCTTCTAACTTTTTTTATAGTTTTGATTGAGGATTGATTTTATTTGTTATGTATATCAGTTAGTTACATTAGCTTTGATCCTTTTCCATGGTCCATATCAAAGTTTTGTAGTTTTGTTGAATGTGTTTGAAATATCTGCTGCCTCGGGTGCATACTTAATTTATTCAATTATCAGTAAGTAATCTCGAGATATTTCAATATAGCAGTTCTCTTACCTGTTATTTTCTGTCAAATTTCAGGCCCTGTTTGTAGCAGCAGACTGGTATTATTTGACAGTAGATGTGAATTTGAAAGAATTATGTGTGAGATAAAAGATAATACAACTTATATTGAGGAGGATGTAACACTGTGTGATAAAGTTTTGGGCGGTAAGCACGATCCTTAATCTTTGGTATACATCATCTCTTTTGACCAACCAAAAAATTACTTCACAATCGGGTTTGTCAACTGAGCACCCTTTTGGGAATGGCATCGAATATCATTGATGGCATCCCTTTCTATAAGCAGCTATTATATGCCTTTCCATCTGCTAATTAGCAATTTGGTGTGCAATGTGGGATATTGTTGCTTTATAGCAACTTGGCGTAAACTCGTTTTTTGTCTTAAAAACTTTGTGAATTTCCGGAGCTGCGAATTGAAGATCTGTAGAATATCTACTATTTTCTTATGTATTTTAGAACCTGTCAGTCCATGGACAGCCTGGAGTGACTGTAGTGTAGATTGTGGTGCTGGAGAAATGACAAGAACTAGAGTTCAGCTAAGAGCTAGAACTACTTATGAATTACGTGTGTTACCTTTACTAGAGACGGCTATATGTTATGGTAATTGTACCAATGGTAAGTTATCATCTGATCAGATGGTTTGGTGGGATACCATATATAGGAATCCATCCATCAATCTCGAAAGACTATGGACTACACCCTGTGTGTTTATCCTGATATAGCGACCATATGACCAGTACGGCGTGGGAAATACAGTCCCCTTTGGATAAAATCTTATACTGTTTTATACAAAAGGCCGTCTGCTCATTCCCAATGGATAAGCATGAATTGGTAACGACTATTTACAAGAAGTATCATTTTGTGATGGACTGTATTCTATTTCTAGGCCCCTGCTTCGGTTTCAATTGTACAGTGTATGGAGAGGTCTGTGTCCCAACAGTAGATAATACACCAGAGTGTATTTGTCCAAACTGTACATTCAGAGAAGATGATCCAATCTGTGGTCTAGTTGGAGACAAACAATCCACATTTAAAAATAGATGTGAACTACAGAAGAAAGCGTGTGAAGTTAATCAGAAACCACATGTACTTAGTGAATCTCCTTGTGGAGGTAATATAATGTAGCTTTTTATCACTGTATGGTTGACATTGTACTTTGATTCTTTATCACAATATGGCTGTTCTTTAATTTTATAACAAGATGGTTGGTATTGTACTTTAATCTTTATAACAAGATGGTTGGTATTGTACTTCAACCTTTATCACAAAATTATAGACATAGCTCCTTGAATCTTTATCACAATATGGCTTGCATTGTACTTTAATAATTATCACAAGATGGTTGACTTTGTACTCAGAAGATTAATCACAAGATGGTTGACAAAATTCTTCGAAATTTTGTAACAAGATTGTTAACATTTTACTTAAAATCTTAATCATAAGATGGTTGACGTTTCACTTTCGATTTTTATCATATTAAGATGGTTGCCGTTTTACTTTCAATCTTTATCATATTAAGATGGTTGACGTTTTACTTTCAATCTTTTTCATATTAAAATGGTTGACGTTTTGTTTTCAATCTCTATCATATTAGAATGGTTGACGTTTTGTTTTCAATCTTTATCATAAGATGGTTGACGTTTTACTTTCAATCTTTATCATATTAAAATGGTTGACGTTTTGTTTTCAATCTTTATCACAGGATGGTTGACTTTTACTGTCAATCTTTATCACAAAATTGTTGACGTTTTGCTTGCAAACTTTTTCATAAGATGGTTGCACCTTGAATATTTATCACAATATGGCTGACATTGTACTGTAATATTTATTACAAGATGGTTGACGTTGTATTTTGAATCTTTATCGCATGATGGTTAACATTGTACTGTGAACCTTTATCACAATATTTGTACTTGTATATTTATTACAAGATGGTTGACGTTGTATTTTGAATCTTTATCGCATGATGGTTAACATTGTACTGTGAACCTTTATCACAATATTTGTACTTGTATATTTATTACAAGATGGTTGGCATTGTACTTACATCTTTATCGAAAACTCGATGACATTGTTCTTTTATCTTTGTATTGACTGAAAAATAATAGTGATTTTGAGTTCAGTTATTATCATTGTAGTTATTCTACGAACCAAATCCGTTTAGTACATTATTCCTTATATTTTCAGCATTACCATTAAACTGTTCGATGTTTTCTAAATATCAAGATTTGTCAGATGGAGAATGTTTCTCAGGACCAGTGCCTATTGGTACGTGTGAAGGTGGATGTGGAATCAATCCTGATTATTGTTGTGAAACTCAGACAATGGGTGTAGTAGAGTATGATTTACTGTGTAACAATGGTTCCACACTGCATAGACAGGTAAGCAGACAGTTGCTTATCTTTTTGTCTCATAGTTTTTACCGCCCTGCGGGTCGGATACAAAAAGGAATTTTAAAGAGGTTTTCTAAAAATTTTATTTGTTTCGGGGACACTGATAGCATCAATTTGCACCATTACAATTTTCAATAACTTTTCATCTGCGGTACCTGCAATTCCGCTCAAAACTTTTTAGCCGAATTACAGGAACCACAGGTGTCTGATTGAAGATCTGAATGGTGCAAATTGACTGATACACATTATGTTTTTTTACAAACCCTCTATACAGTCCCTTTAATGAGAAGGTTCAGCCATGCAATGAGCTTCCCTTTTTCGATTTACCAAGTATTTTTTTCGTCCAACTCATCTTATAGAAGTGTATTTTCTGGTTTATTGTCCAGCTTTCATGATGGCATCTTGTGACTGTGTTTTAACTTGGTTTTCATAATAATCAATGCAAGGTGTATTTGGTATATTCATTCATTTCAGGTACCATCTATTACCAGTTGTTCCTGTAATGATTTGGGACACACTACACCTGCTTAGTAAAATAATTCATATTATGAATGTAATAAAATATTCGAAGACGCATATTGTTTTGATATTGCGGCCCTATAGCCCTAAATGAATTGTATTATATTATATTATGCTCACTCCGCGTGAAAATATTGACGTATACCGGCGTTGAATGCGTCAATATTACGAATTTAGACAACCTGTCTTGCATTTTTCACTAGGAATTGAGGCCAGTGTGCTTTCTAAAAATGTGCTGTTTTTCATGGTAGAAAGGGAGGGGGTGCTTAATTTTACGCCGGATTGTGTACACTAAAAACAAGGTGTTACAATATATAATTATTACATATACAATACAATTACATATACAATACTATTACATATACAGAGATTTTTAACTATGACATGTTCATCTTCCGTCTTCAGTGATTTGCCAGACAGGAAGACCATAGATGAGTCTCGGACATCAATGGAAACCTGTCTCGGACCTAATGCGAAAGCACCTCGGAAGCTATACTCGGACGTATATAGAAATACATACTAATGTTAAGACGCATAATGTTTCCAATATATTCATATACATGTTTAACATGTAAGCCCTTCCGTTACTAATCAAGGTACAATCCCACACCTCTAGGCCCTACAGTACCTCTATGATTCGTTGGCCAACAAATCTCGATCATACGAACTCAACCAGCAAAACAAGCCTAATAACACCCTAACAAGTTTAGTCCCTACAACACCTAAGACGAACCTAATCAAAACGCATGTGAGCCCTACACAAATCCTACCCTTAGCAAACCTAACATTCGAGGGTGTGATTGTGTGTAGCACAAAAGGGTGAGCATAGTTATGGATAATTGAAAAAAAATCTTTATTTAACACAACACCCTATGGATAGGCCTAGTTTCTGGTAGCCATAGCGTAGATCTCGTAGCTTCTCAATATCTAAATCATTAATTGAATTTAGGGGATGTTTTCTAAAATTCATATCAAAGTCATAGTTAATAGCCAGTAAAATCTCAATAACATTAATGTAATAGTCACATTATATCTTGTGGAAACACATCTCATCTTCTCTACACACATCTCATCTTCTCTACACACATCTCATCTTCTCTACATACATCTCATCTTCTCTTCACACATCTCATCTTCTCTACACACATCTCATCTTCTCTACATACATCTCATCTTCTCTACACACATCTCATCTTTCCTGTTAAGTCGGACCAAAATATCTCAAACAGATATAACTAAAAATATCCGGAGGGATAATTTAAATTTTGAACCTTGCTTAGTCCCATACTCGAATCTCAAACGGCCCTATCGTAGTCCCTATCATAGCTCTATTAATCAGAAAACAAGTAAAACGAATCATTATGTTGCTGGCCGAATTATCATATCTAACCTAACATGAAACCTAACGGAAAACTAACACAAACCTAACTCGTGAGAGATATGAGTAGGGGAGGCAGCAAGGTTTGCTACATCTGAGCTATTAAACTATGAAGTATATCCGTAAAAACGAGATTGACTTAACTTCTCTGGTTTGGTTTGGTTTGGTTGTCGTTAGTTTGGTATGGTTGTTGTTGGTTTGCTTTAGTTGTTGTTGGTTACCATTTCCATCCGTTACCTAAAAATAGAATGAAAAGGATTAGTACACCGTGTACCGAGCAGGTGAAATAGAGGAACGAAAACACAAACCTAACATTGTAACGACCAGGAAAATGAATAGGGGAAAATGAAGAGAAAAAACAATATAAGAATTATATTTATTATTCATTTAAAGTTGTTGCATGTGCCTACAACTAACAAAAATTAATTATACACTTAAAAACAATAAAACAATATTATATGATTAAGTAAATAATGGAGGGGGCTCTTTCTTAATGAAAATGGATATAGGAGGGGAAGGGTAGAGTAAGTATACCCTGCTTGTGTTGATGCCTCTAGCCGGAGCAATGGGGCAATTAAACCTCGTACCAACACATACGTCCACTGGTCATATCGGAGACTCAGAGAGCGAGATTGCTTGAATTTCTAACGTAGTTATGAGATTTTTGCCAGAAAAACTTGCTTACGTTTGTCGACTTCAAAACTACTATTAACACCCTTTTGCCGCTTTTAGACTAGGTTAGATATTACGATAAGTAAATATTCTTTAGATTCTAGTATAGGTGTAGTACCTCGTAATTTCTTCGTTTAATCCGAAAACTCGACTTGAAACACCCCCATCAAGTTTGTAATTACTAACAATAGGCAATGTTTGTCGACATCAAAATCACCCTTACCACCGTTTTGCCTCTTTTAAACTAGAACAAAAATGACGATAAATGAATATCTTTAAATTCAATGTTCATCTTATGCATTGACTGCAATGGCCTTTTGTCTTGTTTCGCGGAAGTTTGTGAACGTATCAACTTTATTCGATTGTATACTGACGAATACAGTAAAACTGAGCCTTCTACAGAAAGACTCTAAATAAGAGTACTCACGAAATCGAGGGCCCCGTTTGGCTGTCGTAAAAAATCCCATCAAATCGCAGAAATACGTAATAAATTGGCCATAGTGAAGATGATAATCTGCACGATCCATAATATCAATCATATTGGGAGTATAGTTTTGTTCTGAAAGAGGAAACTAAATCTGTTTTAAATCCTTTTTCTTTTTTAGTTCTCATAGTAACAGATGAAAATATACTTAGATTACCATAGAGTATTGCATGTTCTTATAGAAGGATGTAAAAGATTTCATTATAGGTTTTGGACATGGATTCTAGAGTTTGTTCACATTTTTATGTTACAAATATTAATTGCTTGTATAACTATTAAATTAGAAAATGTTATATATTTTTTTCATTAGTTTATGCTCATAAATAAAATATTGAATAGTTGTCTATTTTTTCAATACTTTTTATACTGAACATGGGTAGTACAGTATACCGTTAATCTATGGACAAAAAAGAAATATTATTCAAAAATGTGGGTATCATAACAAAAAAGAACAATAAAAATGAAAAGCAATGAACAAACAATCACCAATAAATCAATAAATGGGAATTATAAATCTGTCTATTCCGACAATGAAATAATAATAATATTTTGAAAAATAGAATTTGTAAGTTTTAAATATTCTCTCTTAACTTCCATACCCATATTAACCGAACATACAACCTACAAAAAAAGAAGAACATAACAACATAAGTATCAAACCAGAATAACCTGATATCGAAAAACATGATCAAATTTTTGGATTAAAAACAGACATTTCTGGATACTACACTTGGTAGAATCTAAACAATATCTTAATATTTATTCTAGTCTAAAAGTGGCAAAACGGGGTTAATAGTAGTTTTGAAGTCGACAAAGGTGTGACAGCTGCTAAACATTATTAGGTTAATGGGAGTGTTTCAAATCGAGTTTTTGGATTAAAAGCAGAATTTCCGAGCTACCGAGTAGAATCTTAAGAATGTAAATTTATCGTTCAACAAACAATACAAATATTCGTCAAAAAATCTGGTCATAGGTGTAAGCTAACAAACCCATAGAGTAATACTTCATCAGGTTCGTGTCTGGATAATAAAACAAAAAAGTTTGACCAGACTGGATAATCATAGCTTGTTTACGTCACACGAGGAAGTATCAAGAACCAGGAAGAAAATATGGTGAAAGTTTAGAAAAAGTTTGTGAAAAGCCTTACAAAGGACGTTTCTTGTTTAAAATTTCGTAAAATGGCCACATATAACGAATCCATCAAACAAATTTTGTTTGGTAAGTTGCATTGTATTCATATCAGCAAAAATACCACAAGGTCAGGCCTACTTCTTACTAACTTAGTACTAGGATACAACAACGCACCCTGTGCGATATGAGGTACCGGTACTATTGCAACTTGCATGGACAATCATTATCTTCAGGCAATTGGTGGAAGAAGTTATACCAGAATAACAAATTAAGTGGCCTATGCCTAGTACCGATATTGGTTGTTTGTTTTAGAAGAAATCAAAGAATATGACTAATAAAAGGCCTAAAATAAGACTTAGAGTTGAGTAAGAGGAAGAGGAACTTGTCCACCTCAGCCATACTTAATGCTCACTCACTCTTGTTATTTCTTCAGCTTCACAAAAATGAAGTCTATAAAATGATGGTAAATGTAGGCTATCTTGAAATTGAAGAGCAAGTGACTCTCATACTATGGCAGAAGTGTGTGGACAAAATAGACATCATGGCCTTACCGTTTACACCCCCTTTATAGCATTCATGGCGAGACTAGAAAAACTTTTCATCGTTTTTTGATAAATTGCAGTTTTGTTAAAATTTGATTCACACTATGAATTTGCAAATAATATTTGTTAATTTCAGAGGTTCAACTTTTTATGAATGAAACTATAAAAACAGAGAAATTGAGTGATAAAGTAAAGAAACATAAAACTAAGATATTAGAATTGATTAATAAGATACAAGAAGAATATAATGCTTTAAAACCAGATATTAGTAATACATCTAATAACTCCCTTAGAGCAGATGGTAAGAGTTTCTATTATCACTTTCAAGATCATTGTGTTTTCCCTGTAATATGAACTTTAAAACATATTTACAACTTGTAACACATAAGGTGGGACTTACTTTTGATAATGCTTTGCTCTAAAGATGCACTAGGTTTTAAACAGGTTACAAGCCAACAGTACTAAGACTTGACTGAAGATCACCTAATATCTGATGTCTGACACCTTTTAGATGAAAAAATCCATATGGAAATTATGGTTAACTAGGAGTCTAGATGTTTGAGTAGAATTAACTAATTATATTTGATACAATGTACAGCATCATCAGAAAGAGAATGTCCAAAAAATCTCTAAGATTGTCATAGCCAGGTGTCCCTAGTGGAAATATTGCTAATAAGTGTTAATTTTTCAGATGAGTCTATTTTTACTGGAGGGAGTGGTCATAGTGGAAAATAGTGAAGAGGAGGTACCATATACTGAAAGTAAGTTTTATTTATACTATGGTAAAGATTTGATAATCTTAATAAGTTTATATTAATGTAAAAGATAAAAAGAAAACAAGATTTGTATAGTAGCCAATAAGAGTATTCCGAGCTACATAGTAACATAACTATTTAACATAATCCCTGTATCAGATAAATCCATAACAATAAGTAATTATCCATCCATATCCATAACTACAAGTACTTATTGAAGAAGGATTGGAAAAACTCTAAATTACATGTATGATTTGATATGATTTTTGTCAGATAAGATATCATAGGTCCATGTTATTTAAATTCTAATATTGTGTTTTGAAGATATTCGAGTCACACCAGCAGCTAGTTTAAACCAACCATTAAAATCTGGCTGGTTAGAAAAACGTAGAAAAGGTTTGTTTATATCTAAATTCTCTGAACTATTTATTTGGAATCATGTACATGGAGAGACTTCTACGTTAAGCACTATACTCGAAAGTTGCCAATCATAGCCCTTGATTAAACCGGCAGCAAAATTGTTTTCAGTTTATCTATCAGGGCACTGATTGGCTGTATTCCACAGTGTACAATCTAATGAAATCAACTTGCTACATTTGCAATTGTAATACAAGAAAGGTGGCTATTGCTTCACATTGTAAAGATGACTTATGATAAGCTATATGTATATTGCTTTGTTTTGTATTAGGTCTGATAGGAAAGATTAGCTACCAAAAAAGATATTGTGTTATACATTCTGCTGCACTGTATTATTATGAAAAACCCACAGACAAAAAACAAAATGGAGCATTTCCTCTCAATGGTTAGTCTTATTTTATTTTCAAATTTCTCTTAGTTTTTGTCCAGATTTTGAACAGTGGAAATTGATAATCATCTTCTTGTTAAACTTGTCTGCAATAATTTGACACAAATTTTTGAATAATGTTATATGACCAAGAGACACACCCAGAAATGGTGAGTCTTTATTTGCAAAATAATTTAAGAAATATAATTTAGAAATTGTTATCAGTTTGCTAGTAGACCTAGTTAATTCAAAGCTTTTTTAAATTTTCAATTACTTTGTGGAATTACTGTATTCCTGTTGCCAAGTTTTGGAACATTGAATGGGTCGCTTTTTTGACACAATAGATTGTTCAGATTGAATTAGATTATCTTCAATCATCTTTTAATTTTGAACTGCACTAATCTACACAATCTAATTATTGTAGGATATGAATTTCGAGAGGCACCTCAATTAGTAAGTGGGGCCAAAAAAGAATTATCATTTGAATTGGTTGGTCCTGGTAAAAGAACATATGAAGTAAGTCATGAGCTTCCACTTACTTGTGATTAAAATATTGTTGAATTTAGTAAATTACTGATATATAGATCATTTTGGAGACGTTCATTTTCTTAATCAATGAATTCTGAATTCAAATCAAAAATACTTGTAAACTGTGTCAAAATTCACTTATAATAACTGTTACCGTTTTTTTTCTCTTATTTTGAGGATAAAAGCTGCGTTGAAATGAATTGTTATCATAAAAAGTTTGATGGTCATTTTATCGTACCTTTATTTCATTTCCTAGTTTTTGGCTGAGAATAAAGAAGAATTTAATTCTTGGAGAGAAGCAGTTGAATCTTGTCATAATGAACCCAGTAAGTTTTATTTATTTAATCTATCTGTATTTTATTATTATAATTGGAGTTTGTAATTAATGTAAACCAAAACTTTGTAATGTAAAAGTTAATTATATTGAGTTAAATCAACTTAGAACACAAATCTCGATTGTGAGTTCCAAGTTCATGACCACTTTCATTATTGGCAATTATAAGCATCTGGTAATTGCTATGGTGTGAAGGCGCATTAACTTGAACTATGGTTTTTGTATCATAATATGTTGGAAAACTTGAGAGCTGTTCTAACTAATTATTACTTTATATTGTGTTTGATAGTATCTGAAGAGTTATATGAAGCTATTGAAGATATTATCAGACCAGCACCACCACGTGGTCAACCACCAGCAACACCTATAGTAGATGATGGAGAAGAGTATGAAATACCCCAGGTGGAACAACAGGAAACATATGAAGTAGTGGGTGAAGATCAACCCCCAATATTACCAGCTCCTCGTAAGGTCTCAACTCAGTCAGTGCCAAAAATGGCACCACCTTCTATTCCTAATGTTCCATTACCTGAACCTCCTGTTCAACCCCAAACTCCAAAAAAGCGTGTTCCAAAACTGATTGGTATGACCAACGATCCTGCTGAAGACTTTGAGAATATGTATTTTGGTAAATGGGATTGTTCTACCGATACAGATAATGAGTTAAAGTTTAATAAGGGTGATATTATACATATTATTAGTAAAGATTTCGACAGTGAAAATTGGTGGGTTGGGGAATATAAAGGTTCTATAGGTCTGGTTCCTAAATCATACTTGGCTAAAGCTTACGAATTAATGCCTTGAATGTTTTTATCATCTGCCTCTATCAACTGCTAATCATGACTTTGTGCTATTTTTAACTTAATTTAAGTGCATTAGTACTGAAAAGTTATTTTTGATAATTCAAAAATTATTCCTGCTAAGGATATATTTAAAGTACTAGTCCTACATATATCTATTGATTTTTTTATGTTTAATAAACAATATTTATTGTCTGAGCAATTTTAAAAGTTTTTTGAATGTTTTTGATATTTCTTTTTTAGAATTGGAATATCATCCTCAAGTACTAATAGTCTTAGAATGTCTATGCGTTAATAAAAATATTATCTTTTGCAAGGTTACATTGCAAAGAAACATTTCTTTCCTAGAAATTTCAACCGAAAAATTCACAAATTTTGGCTGAAAATTGTCCTCCCTGTAGATCTAATGTGTTTATGTTTATATTTTTATCAACGCAAAGACATTCTAAGACTAACAGTACTATTTTGAGGCTGCTATTCCAATTATCAAAAAAATAATGGGAAATATTGAAAAAAAAAAAAACTTTTCGCTCAAACAATAGTGCAATTTCTTACTAAAGATATTTTAAATTATTTTGAATCAAACAATAAATAATGAATATTCTTGTGTAAATTTTTATTTTTAGATAAGAAAGAAGTAATTTTCTGTCATTGCTTTATCAAGGTCTGCTGAATTTTGTATCTTATATATTGCACTATCATCTACATAATCATTTTGTAGATTGTATACAATTTGATAAGCTTAGTAATATATGCACTTATTAACTGTTACACTTTTCTTTATCTTTATTATTATTATTATTATTATTATGTTCTTCACTTGTTAATATTGCATTGATTTTCTAACTAATACAGTATAGTCTTATTTATATTTTTTGTCTCATATAAGTGGTTTACCTATATTGTCTCATCAATGATTACAACATTGTTTGAAAACTTTTATGATCAAAAGAATACCATAGTCAGTTAAAATGCAGTGTGCAAGACACAATTTTCCAGTATAAACCTTTTGCCTATTGTCAGAGCAAGTTTGGTGGTATATTGAATTTTGTGAACGCAAAGATTTTCTAAGATTATCGGTACTATTTTAAAGCTTTAATTCAAATTCACTTAAATTTGATATACTTACAAACTTGCTAAGACATTACATTGTTGAGAGATCGATGGACATCCTACAGGTCCCAGGGCCTCAGTTTTATGTTACTTTTGTTTCCTCAGCGAAAAATCAATTGATAATGTGGAAATGTTTCAAAACAAAGATAAACTTATTTGACCTAAATTTACTGAAAGTTGAAAGTTTTGGAAATCATTGAATCTCTGTAGTATATTTATAATGTTGTTTATTAACTGAGTTTATTTTCATTTCTATTTTCTAAATAAACAAATTTGAGCTACAAGATGCAACTTCCTTTTTTAAGTGGAGCTCCAGAGATTAAATAAAAAAACAATTCATTTATTTTTTGGGGAGTTAAATCAAACTTTTTGAATCTTTCTACAATTACAATAGGTCTGTCACCATACAACTAGTTTTAAACTTCCCTTTCTTGTTATAACTAAATGACACTTCCTTTCATATGGTAGTCAATTCACATTCACACTGTGGCAGTTAATATTCACGGCCAAACTTTTTATAGAAATTTTCCTCCACACGTTTACAGAATGCTGCCAGATTACTAAAACCTTCTACTATAACAGCAAATCTACTAACTGGTAACCTTGTGGTCAATATGGTATATAAATGACCAAATACCAGAGCATCTAATTCTGTCGGTCTACAAAATATAAGTTCAAATATTTACTTGGGTCATCTTTATGATCAAGTTATTGTTTTGAAAAGAAGTTTTGTACCGGTAACCTTTATATCATGGTTATATGTGATGACATGCTTAACTGTTGCTTAAGGAGCATGCCTTTATTATATATCTGTTGAGGTATTCTATCACAACTATCATCCCTCCTTTCAAATAAAATATTGTACTTTAATGATTTCATACTAAATATTCCTAAAGCACACATAAAACCTGATTATATAAAATTAGAATTGATGTTACTCAGAACTTCACGCTATGCAATCTTCAGACAAATGACCTATTTTCAGCCTGCATCCCTACTGAACTTAGACAAGTAGAAGAAAGAAAGATATATAAGAAATTATATACATGTATTCAATTATGTTTAATATCAGAAAACTCTTACCTGGTGCCAAAAAAGTATTGTTTATTATCTAATTTTTCAGATAAAGCTTGACAACAAGTTTTAACTTCTTCACATACCTGTGATTTTAAAAAATTATATTTCTTCAAATCGTAAGCTGATCACCATGCAGTGTGCAATTTGGTTTTTGGATTTCTGAAGCTTCTATGACATTCATAAAGGACAAATAAAAATACCCATTTTCACTAGGATCTCTTTTTGCACATCCTGTAGCACTCAGGGCTTCAGTTTATTGTAACATCTGAACTACTGCACGCTATTTCCAGCCTTTATGACCTGCATCACTGAGAGGAGGAAACAAGGTTGAAATCCAAAGATATTATTATGCTCTTAGTTAAGATTGAACCTTGGACCTTCAGATTAGCGAGAAAGCGCCTATCTCACTTAGCCAATGTGACTGCCCAAAAATGATAATAATCAACACCGACCTCATCAATAGTTTTATTAGACCAACTAATACTCTTTAATCTAGCCTTCATACTACGCTGTTTCTGCCATGGTAATAATCTATTTAATGGCCAGGGGTGGACGTAACCATATCTAGGTTTGGTAATCTGAAACAGAATACATTCTTTTCAAAGGTATACTACCTCTTATGATGATCAAAGAGTTGAAATTTGAAACTTGATCAACATGATTCTTTGTTCATTAGTGAATTTACCTGGTGTAAAAACCATACCATTATAATATATGATATGATATAATAATCATATCAATTCATAAAATTATTAGTAATAATCCTTTACAGTAAGTAATTTTGAAACTTTTACTTAGTTGAATGGACATATCTTCTTATATAGCGGTTCCATTCTTTAGTCATGACATCTAGTAAGTCCAAGTGATGAATATATATATTAACCAAGTTTGATAATTTAAATTTTATGTTCATTCTAAGAGATAGTATAGTTTAACATTTAGTTTCCAATATAAAAGTTATATCAAAAGGGATTATGAGTAATGTATTCAGAAGCAACCTAGGTATCAAATATGAGCTGAATAATCCAGCTAAGAAATTGCAATTTACGATACCAACAACACATCATCAGAGAGCCTTTATTTTTAAAAGCAAGTAATACTTATGGAAAGATAATATGAAACATGAAACCAAAAACCACAAATCTTTAGAAATATTACCTCTTCAGACACTGTTTCATCTACCCAGGCTAAATATAACTGAAATAAAAACACCATCTTTTAAAGGCCGCATATTGGCAGAAAGATTATGTATAATGACATAATATTTTGTTTAAACTCAAAATAGATTTTCAAAATTGTGCCAATATCATTAAATCTTTCATAGCTGATTCCAGACAAAAAGCTAATTAAGCTATGTGCTATATAATCAAAATCAATAAAACAAAAATATATCATAAAGTTATTACCTCAGCATTGACTAGAATATTCTCTATTAAAGCCATGTAGGCTCTCATTTCAGATCTTTCACTTTCATTCAATTCTCGGCTTAAATGGAAACCCTGAATATATAATTAAGGTGATGAAATCAATATGGTTTATAATAATCTAATAAGTAGGGTTGGTACCCTGTGTCCAAATCACGCTTGATGGCGTTGCCAAAGTGTTTTCAAAACTTATTGGGACACTGATAACATTGATTTGCACCATTCCAATTTTAATTCCACTAAACTAGGCTGCTAAGGTCTGAGTTATAAGTAGCTTCACTTACTCTTGTATTCACAAATGCTATAATTGGATCAAGTTCTGCAACCAAAAAAGCTCCAACGTGAATAAATGGAACTTTCCCTGAAATGGATTAAGTATTGAATATTATCTAGTGAACATAGTGTACTGTCATACTATTATATCTATAGAGTTTTATTTCATTTTATTCTGTTGAAGTGGTTTGGACTTTACATGACACGTCTGACTGTAAACAGCACAGATATTGATAATAAAATTTACTTACCAGATGGAGACATTTCTTCAGCATTGATTCTTAATTCTGTATGAAAGTCTAAACTACACATGTGTAGAAACGTTTTGACACTTAAACAAGTAGCATAGTCAGGGAATGTTATCTGTTCAACTGAAACCAATAATTATCCTCATTAGTTCTATGTGTCAGAAATCTAACTGAGGCTTATAGTAGCAACACTAAGATATTTATATGTTATATATATGTTGTGTAATGACACATCAACTAGTATCACTAGATAAAAACAGTCAATAGTCAATATCCAACCTTAATAATTAATAACTCTTGCCTATGGTAAGAGTTAGACTTTCTGTCCAATGCAGTATACAATGCTCTAGGTTTGGGGGTTTAAGCATATTTCTTTGTCTCCTATCTCTTTTATCCAATTTTCAAGTGTCAAATAGGAAAACAAATGTACAGTATCTTTGGAAAAGAAATTTTGATCTGATCCGATCCTGCTTGGCCTATTCAGCAGATCTTGCCACTATCACTAATTGCCTTACCTTGATATGGTTGATACAAACAGGCATTGTCAGGCCATGGCTCATATGCTGTAATACAAGGTACAATTTACATCAAAATCATCCTTTTTTACACGAAGTGAGGTGGCAAGATGTTTGCCACTAACACTAACAGAGATTATTCATTCTTGACAGTCAAAGAATCTTAATGAGATATGGATTTTCAATCTAGCCTTTACCTTTCAACCAGGTGCTAATAATGCAACTGTCCTTGAAAAAAAATTCCAGCCTGTATCAGTGTATGGTGTTGACTGTCTTCTTTAGCTCTAACAAGAGCAGAAAAGCAGAACATAATACTATTACTGCCCACTAAGAAGGGGCCAATGAGAAAGTTATCTCCCTTTTGGCTCCAGTCTCCGCAACAAATGATGTAAATTAAACATTAACAGAATAATATCAAGAGAAGTTTACCTCCAATTTCAGCTTGTACAGCTTCTGCAACAAGTGAACTCATTCTTGAAGTTATTGATTTGATATACAGTGATTTACTGACTTCGCTTTAGATAATCAAAATTGTCAACAATTTACATCGACCTTCATTTTTCCTAGGATATCCCCAATTCTAATAATAGATACACGATATTCCCGCTATTCGACCGATTCGCTCTGTTCATTTGCAACTAAATAGGTTAATCATATGACTCTAGAGATATTTTATAAATATTGAGAGGAACAAAGAATCTTTTTCGGGATGTGAAGATGTCTCGTTTTTCGTAAGTTTACAAGCAAAACATAAATCTATTCTAGGTCTAGCTTGAAACTCGAAAAATCTAGGACAAAGTCATAGTAATATACTTGTGCCACCTGAACGCATGCTTTGGTTTTGAGGATACAAGTGATAAAGCACTTTTTCTGCCAATGTTCAATAAATCCACTAAAAAAATATTATCATTAAATTTGGAGATTGTAAATATATTCAAAAGAAGCATGTCTGTTAATCAAAAAGAATACACTTGGCCGAAAATCGTCTTGTTTGGTGATTCAATTACTCAGGTAAAGTAAACTTGTAAAGACTTCATACCAAATTAGACGTACTAAAGAAAAATGTGTGTAGGCTATATATATATTTTTTAAATTTGGATTATAACGTTTAGATGATATGATGTTGGAAACATAGCGTACGACTTGTTATTAAAGTAGAATACAGGTATATTTTTGTAAGGGATATAGGCATCGTTTACTAAGAACTAAGTAGTCCTACTTATAAAATTAGTCTACCAAAAATTGTTCTTTTTTTTTTTTCAAGTATAGTTTTAAGCCACAAGGAGGATGCTGGGGAGCATTATTAGCTGACCATCTTCAAAGGTTTTTATGCTCTTTATATCTCTATCATTTCATATTTATACATGTACTAATTCCGTACAGCACAAAATATTGGGAAATAACTGCACTTGAAAAGACCAAAAACGCCATGGAAGAAAGGATCTTTTAAGTTATAACCACTTTCGACAATCAGATTATTAAAGAATCGGACGTCGGGTCTAAATTCTGAAATGTCTTACGACGGTAGGCCTATTCCTTTAATATGATTTGAAAAGGGATTTGCATGTTATCAGACTTCAAATTTCAGACGCTGTACATATATAATTTTTTGATAATAACTTTGTCCTGTGCGAATTGGGGAAAAGAATGAATCAATATAACTATTCGTTTAATATATTTTCTTTTTCGCAAATAACCTATCCGTTTTCCTATTTCCATTTTTTAGGAAATGTGACGTTTTAAATCGTGGATTCTCTGGCTTTAACTCCAGATGGTGCAAATTTATGCTCCCAAAAATAGTAACTGCGGACATTACCAAGGACCTGGCTGGTGTAACTCTGTTTCTAGGAGCTAACGATTCTAATAATGATGATAATATTCGACAACATGTGCCATTAAATGAATTTACAACAAATATGACGGAAATGATTGAATACTTACAGGTATTTTTATTTAGTTGATCTCACAAAATTCTGCTTATTTTGATCACATGTGATGATATGCATATTGCAGTAAAACTAGATTACAACCAACAGAAAGGATTCTGACTGACTCTATTAGTCTACTGTGATGTTTCGATCGCCCTCTGCAAAATATTATAGTATATGGTTTCTGTTGCGGAAACAGCAATACTGTTTAAGCCTCAATATAAACGACGAAGTTCAGTTGATAACAATATCCTTGTTGAGTTTTAACATTTATATTTATTTTTCAGTCAATTGGAATAGAAAGAGAAAAAATTATATTGATAACGTGTCCAGCGTACGATAATGATGCATGGGGTGCACATTCTCAAGAGTATTTCGGTTCGTTAATACCGACTTAAAACTCTGGAAGATTCATTAGACACGTTCGTGCGGAACATTTTTTAGCCAACTATCTCAAATACGCCGAGCTCATTACTCGTTCATAATACCCTTGTCAAGTTCACACGCAAATAAAGCTCATCGATAGGAGGCTTGTCTTATGATAGTAAAACGTTAGGCATGTTCGTCTTAGGGTGGTAGGTAGCACGTTAGGCATGTTCGTCTTAGGGTGGTAACACGTTAGGCAAGTTCGTCTCAGGGTGGTAACACGCTAGGCAAGTTCGTGTTAGGGTGGTAACACGTTAGGCAAGTTCGTCTTACGTCACACAGAAGTCAACTGGCAAATTCTTGAAACATGTGCGTCAAATTCGTAATTGGCAAATTCGTTTGAGCGTTCACGTATGCAACAATCAAGTTCGTCTAATAAAGGTTGCGCTGCATTCAGGTTCATCCCAGAGACATTTATGCTTCATCCGTTGATAAACAGTTCCTAAAGTTATTATCATCGTACTATTTTTGTCCCCGCAAATCGGCAGTGTTTGCGTCGATTTTGCATAGTGTTCATGCACGAAGACATTATTCATAGGCAACCCTAAGTATGTGGCATTGCGCAAACAGAAATCGTACAAGTGTCAGTGTGCCTAAGACTCGCGTGTTATAAGGTAAAATGTACACAGTATACTTTGCATAATCCGACTGGGACCGCAAAATAATGTCGGATTAGCGAGAGTGTCGGAGCACTTAAAGTTTCGACATTCTTATGTATAATGATAATGTAAATTTTATCTTTTCAGGACACGCTTCTACCAAAGATTCAGAAACCACACGAAAATATGCTTCTAGCTGTAATAAAATAGCGAAAGAAACGGGCGTATCTCTGGTTGATTTATATAACGACATGCTGAAGCATGAGGTATTCAGGGTTTTCATATACATAAAAATATAAATGTGAAATAACATGTACATAATATCAAAGCTTGCAAAATCGTATCTTATATAGGTATAATACCAAAATAAACTTCTTTTTTTGTTTAAACAATATTTATTACAAATCTACACAAAAATGCATTCAACGACAGAGCACGCAAGCGGAAATATATTCCAACGCATATTCGCAAAATTATATAACAGACATTGAATAAATCATTTTAAGTCAAAATCTCATAGGGTACAGAAAAGATTAACCTGTCTTAGTGAAATATATCTTTTTTTTTCAGAATTGGAAAGAAATGCTAGGTGATGGTCTTCACCTCTCAGCCGCTGGGGGTCAATTATTATTTGAATCCCTTAAACCAATAATAGACAAATTAACAAGTAATATTGAAACTAAATTTCCAGCCTGGGATGAAGTTGATATTCAAAATCCACAGTTAAGCCTGTGAACGCCTACATTCCAACTTAAGAAATTAGCAGTAATCGATGTCAAGAATGATTTTTTACCGTTTATAGAGTTATTGTTATAATTATATTTTCTTGTGTTCCTTCATTCGGCAATTTCCGTAAAGCTGAATCTGATTGCAGAGCTCTGGCGTAACTTTAACGGAGGCCGTTTGGTATACCTTTATTCCTGTCTTGCTACAATAAAAAAATATTTTCACTGTCAAAATAGTTCTCAATGCATCAATTGTTGAGCGATATTGAAGAAGGGTAGTAATTTATTGCTCTATGTGCGTAGTAAATAAGTATATTCGATGAAAATAACAAAGATCAGATCGAACAAACAACTGCCCATTGTCCCGAAAAAATTATATAAAGTCGTTTTATGTACAATGGAGGTAGGTAATATGTAATAGAACATTAGAATTATGTCTAACTTTCAGGTAAGTAACCTTAATCATTATTTTTATTCATACCAAATACATGGATCAAGCTGTTTGTGGCTTGCTTCCAGAACGACACTGGCCACTAAAGTTTATTTCAACTCAAATCCAAAGTTTTTGGACTTGGTCTGACACTGATAGAATCAAATTGCACCATCTCAGTTTTCAATCACGTCTGTGGTTTCTGCTATTCGACTTACACTAAGTGTTTTATGATGTCACCCCCACAAAATTTCCTTTACAGCCTATCGCTAATATCTTTGCGGGGCAGTCTGTTTTACCGGTTGCGATATATGCTCACTGCATTTGTATTTTCAGGCGACTTAATAATCCAGAAACAATTGCAGAAACAAATTATTATGGCTATGTACATCTTTTAACGATCATCAGCTTATTACTTGCATCGATTTGCACCATTCCAATTTTTCATGACCAGCTAGGTGTCTTGAATAAAGCAAATGGAGGCCATAAACGGCCATGATGATGATACACATTCAAGCTAGAACACCACATTTAACCCATTGAGATGATTAAGTCGATCCCGCTGATAGCCAGTTGAAAAAAATTCAAATTTTAAAAGTTTAAATCTGACTGCGGTTGTTCAAAATGTTCAGGTTCTAGGCACCAATCTAGAATTTTTTTTATCGGACTATTAGGTTCGATATTATTATTTGTGGTCTAGTGCAAGTTTTCGAATGAAGTTATTTCCCCTGCATGTGGCTGCGTACAATTTATGATATTTTGGTTTGGGTTGATAATGGTTATTGCATTTTAGTGTTTACGGATATCTTGTTATGGAGAATAGCTAGATGGTTATACTTTGTCAAATTGTCACGATTCAAATGATATTAATATGGACTTTATTCGTTTTGGGAAATACTGATGTTCAAATTTTGTTTGACCTTCCTTCGGCCTGCGCCGGTAACGAAGATTGATTGAAGAATTTACTAGGGCCTATTTACCCAAATACTTTCTATTGTATTCCAAATCTAATGTTTATTTACCTTAATCGTATGTTTTAATAAGTTTATCTGTAATTTCTATTGCTTTGTTCCTTACTGCCAGTACTGAGTAGGCTCAACTCACCTACTACTGAGCAGTTGTATCTCGTACTCCGAGTCGCTCTGCACTGTCTACTAGTACTACTACTAGGCTCTAACCAACTGATCCAAGTATAACTGTGGTTAATGGTCATGTCATTAGCTAAACCACACTTTATTCTACAGTTATCAGAACTAGTTGTTCACTTCCTTCTACTTTCCATGTCTCGAGTCAGAGTCACTTCAGTTAGGAAATGAAATATTTGACAAATAAGCAAAAGTACCTATAATCCTTAAAGTTAAAGTCGAGACATTTGCAATTTTTGGGGGGCCAATCAGCTTACTGTGCATTTCAAGTATTCATAATTATCTGTGTTTGAAAGATAAAAGGACCAGCAGCTATTTGTCGTAGGATTTTCCATTTTGAAGAACAGTTAAGGACGTTGTGCATTATGTGTAAACTCATTCATCCAGCCACACTTTGTGGAATGCACAGCTGCAAAAAAAAAATGTCTGGGTGTCGGAGACATTCAACTTTTTGATACCCCAATTTTCAGAAATAAGCTTGTGAATGAAATAAAGATGAAGTAAGATTGCTTGTTTGAGATTATTTGAAGGAATTAAATGTGATTTTCTTACAGTTCTAAGATAACTCAAATGAACCAGCGAAAGTGGCAAAACCATGGCCTTTAAAAAACTTGATTACTAGAGCAGGGAAGGAATATTTACAGGTAACATGTGAAAGTTATTTTTAAAAAAAAATCAGAAAAAACTGAACTCTAGCAGTAGCCTATTGTCTGAACAAAAAGTAAATTTTTTTAAAATTTTTTCCATTATTTTCATCAGAATTAGAATAACTCAAAATAGTATTATCAGTCTTAGAATGTCTTTACATTGATAAAGATATTAACACGAGTAGGCTACTGGTACACATTCTGTCTTCATTTTGTTTGTTTTTTTTTACAGAGGACAATTGTCAGCCAAAATTTTTGGTCTTTATTTGGTTGAAATTTCAAAGAGAAAAGTGTGTTTCTTTTCAATGTAAACTTACGAAAAATCATATTTTTATCAACGCATTCAGGTGACATTCTGAGACTAACAGTACTATTTTGAGGCTGATATATCAATTTTCTTTAAAGGCATTGTGAAGAGTGTTACTTAATTCTTTATGTGTATCAGTACACTGATAGCATCTGTTTGCACTATTCCAATTTTTAATCAGATGTCTATGGTTCTTGCAGTTTCAGCTAAAACTATGTGTTTGATGAAGTCACTAATGCTGAAGGGCCATATGTGATAGTGATAATTGGAATGGTGTAAATTGATGCCATCAGTGTCGCCGATCCTATACACATAAAGAATTTGGAAAACCTCTATACAACCCATAAGGAAAAAATGTTAAAACTTTCTGCTTTGCTTAAAAACTAATGTTCAGAGAATATAATTTTTTTTAGATTCTTACAATTACACAATAATGTTAATTGTCACATTTTATTATCTGCCAAATTAAAATACTTTGATGATTAAATTTCTCAAATGTAGTTTTAAACTTTACAGGTTTGAGGTTTTGAAGTTAACTAGTTATTCAGAACAGAAAAGTTGCAAAGAAAAAGGTCAACACAAGAATCATATTCAGCAATATTATGTTTCGATTTTCTGTACTATGTACGGTTGGAAAAATTTTCAAGCCGCCTTTACTGATCTCAAATACAATAATATTACACACAGTAAAATTAAGGACGGAAACTTTCAGTACTAAATCAAAATTGATTGGAAGCAAAATTATTTCGGAAATAATTAATCCTTCTAATGTGGAGCTAAAGGAGGACAGAGTTATAGATGTTGAAAAGCAGTTTAAACAGAAATTGATCAAGAAATCCGTGCCTGAGATGCTGGATTTAGCAAAAGATGTATCTGATTTACAGTCTGCATCAATTTATGTTGGTCACTTGTGTAAAAAGCTAAGCCTCACAAAAGACGCTAATTTAACAGATATTGTTATGAAAGACGAGAGATTAATGAAGGCTTTTTCACATTTTGCTTTGGACAACGAAAACAAACAAAATGTTCCAGATACTTATATCTTAAATCTTTTGTTTAGTCTTTATAAATTACACCCTTTTCATTGTCCACTGATAACTGTTGCTGAATTGTACATTATTTCACGAATAGACAAACTTAGCGAAAAAGACCTAGTAAGACTTTTAGAAGTATATAGTCAGAAGAAAATTTCTTTCAATTTGACTGAAAGTTCCCTCCAGTTATTCAGTAAGACAGTCAATAGAGTTCAAGAAACTTGTAAGGAATTCGAAGATCCAAATCATCTCATCAGTGCAACATATTACCTTTTAAATTTAGAAATGACAGATGTAGCCAGGAACGTTATAATGCAGGCAAATGAATTGGTTTCTAAGTTTGATGCTAAACAGTTGTGTAATATCTTATTTTTGACCGCAAGCAATAAAGATATAACAATTACTAAAATTCAACGCAATAAGATTGTGAGCCTTTTAAAGGAATTTGACTTAAGTGAGTTAAGTGTGAAAATCTTAAACAAACTTTTGTATACTTGTGGTGTACTAAACATCTATGATAGCGATTTATTAGAAACTGTAACCAGTGTAATAAAACAGGCTTATAGTCAGAGGAATATTGTTGTATCAAATACAGATTTGATGCGTACAATAACATCCCTGGGAAAATTACGTTGGAAAGATTCTGTACTTATAGAATTAACTTTGAACTTATTTGAACCATTTACTTTGAATAACACTCAACCCATCTTATCAGCCTTAGCTTGCTTAGACTATAACATACCAGATGACTTGAAGTATTTAACAGAACAGTTGTATGCCAAAGTTAGATTTTTATCTCCCTTGAAAAAGTTAGATCTTGTTTGGACATTGGTAATATTAGACAGAGCTAACAGAGATCATATAGCTTCTATCATCAACCCAAAGTTTATTGCCAGTGTTTGTACTGACTTAAGTAGCTTGGAGAAAGGTGAGTATTGGTAATTAACCAGAATTTGATTGGTTAGATCAAAAGGTTATCTTTAGTTCAAAAGGCTTGTCTTTAAGACCCTAACTGGAGTGGCCATATTGAAAAAAAGGTAATATAAAACGAAAAATAAAGTTTTGCCCAATTTTAATTAGAATGACAGAACAATGCTCAACCAAAATTTGAAACATATTTTTGATTAATTATAACCTCACAAAAATTTATAATTTTATCAATGAAAAGTCATTTAAAAACTATTAGAAAAGGTTATCATATATCATTAAACTTCATTGTTTTGATTTTATTTTTATTTTACAGATCCTAAATTTTCAGATGTAATGAAAATCCAAAAACTGCAAAATTTATCTTTGGCTGGAAGATTGGAATTTGATTTACCTGCTGAAACAATGCTATTGAATTCATTTATCTTTGACATGAAGGTACTATTTTGTTTATTGCAATGGCTTATTGAAGTATTAATTTTGTTTAAAAACCTATGGCCCTAGGATCAGACATCGATCAATATAAACACAAAAACAATGACATTTTGATTAGAAATAAACAGAAAATTGTACATTATTAATCAAAGTGTTTCACATGTATTAGAGTAGCTCCATGTTAGATTTATGCTTATATGATTATAGTTAAATACTGTATAAAGTAAACTGAAGTCTAAATACTTTATGTACTACTTGATAGAGCTCAGTTTTATGTTGTTTCATCATGTGAAAGATTAGATTCTGATTCTGGATAAAATGAGGTTTGAAAAGTTGATAATGCAAATAATTAAACTACTCCATACAATCTTATTAAAATTATGTTACAAGTTTATCTCTTTGTTAATTTCCAAACAGGAAATCCCACAATTAATTATTGTCAGCATGAAAGGAGTCCAACATGACAATGTCACTTGAACTAGATTACAGTAGAAAACCTTTAAGATTACATTGGAGGCAAAAAAGAAAAAGAGGAAATGATTTTTTTCAATTTGATTGAGTTTCTGTACAAACTATTGTCATTGATTTCTGCAAAATTGCATATTAATTTGTGAATGTGTTCAATTGATATTTTAATGTATTTTATAGGGAACATTTATGTCTAATTCATTAAGTGAAATGTTATTGTTGGCTTTGAGTAAAATATGTCCCAGTGATAGTATAGATAGTAAAACAGTAATTGGAGGACATTTTATAGGTTGGTACAAAATCAAGCAATTAACAATTATCAATTCAAATGGAAGTGTTTTCTACATATAGGCATTTGATTCAGGCATTTGATTCAGTTATAAATTTTCTCTCCAGTTGCAGATATTAAAGAGAAATAAGATGTGAACATAATATGTAGATCTTTGTTCACTGGGTTGGGATTATAATTGATGTAAAAACCCTTTTAGAAATGATATACTGCTTTTATGAAATACAATTTCTTTCTGTATTACATAATTATATCCCCTCCCTATATGTCTGTGTCATTGCCGATTACTACATGCCATTCCAAAAAATACCTTATATCTTTGTTCAATGGGATAAATGATTGTCAAATAATCTCCTATTATTTTAAAGTAAAGTCTGCACCTTTTCATTTCATTGAATGCGAGAAATGATTATCACACAGCATTTTTTTTATTGTAGATGCTTTTCTGTACTTGAATTTTGATAATGCTATTGAAAAATTAGAAAATATAACACCAGAAAACCTTGAAAAACATCATAGGTATGTTAAATATTAAGATGTCTTATTAGGTTGGTATTGACTTGAATGATCACCAATTGTACTATTCCAGGATTAATTGAGAAATGATCAAAAGTCTTTGTGAATGATATATTCTTAAAGGGACATTCCACTTTTTATACGTCTACATGAAGTAGGGAGCGTATATATTGTTGTCACCCATGTCCCTCCTTTCACAATTGATCAAAAAAAAAAAAAAAAAAAAGGAACAATTCTGGACTGATTTTAATGAAACTTGGTATGATAGTTTGTAATCACTCAAGCATGAAACCGTATTGAAAATCAAAAAATATTTAGCACAGTATGAGATATTGCTCTTGTACTTGAAAATGTGTTCAATTTTAGCTTGTTAACACTCCAGAAGGTTCAATGTTTGACAGATTTTGACGAAATTTGGTGTGAGGATGAACCCTATCGAAAATCAGAAGAAATCGAGTTATTGCCCTTATTATTGAAAATAAAACTAATTTATGGATTTCAGTAAATTAAACGCCTAATTGTAGAGAAGTATATGTCTCTTGCGTATTTTAAAAGTTTCTTCTAATAAAAAATTATACCAAAACTAGGTCAAAATGCTTAATTAACAATTAGTACTCTCTTTTTTTAATTAACCCTTTTAAAATGAATTCAGTTTGATCTAGAAGATACATAGATATAAATAGCATACTTTAGAAAAATTTTCAGACATAACTTAGGACATTTTTGATAATGAAAACTTTTCCTTACAAGAAATCAGAATGCCCCTTTAAAGAGATCACAGATGTTTTGAATTATTTTGAATTTTTGTCTTGTCATTGGCTTGACATATCTTTAAAACAATAATTGTGGGTCCAGTAAAGTATATTTTGAGCATCCAGGAGCATAAACACGAGCAGTCTTCTTGATTTTTTATTGTATGGTGTTGAAATTTCTACTGAGACCACCTAAAAAGGTTGTTGACTTCTTTAGTTAAATGTTTCAATTTTCCCCTTTATGAAAATATGTGTGGTTCTTACATGGAAATAACACACTTGAACATAGTTTACAACCATTTTGAATCTCTTCCTCAATTTAATAAGTCGAACTTTGATTATTGTTATTTTATTTCAACTAAGTCTTAAAATTATGTTTGAATGTTTCGAAGGCTTTGTTGAAATGTTAAACTATTTTAAAAAATCGACTTATTAGTTCTCATAAAGAAATTGACCTTTGATGTTAAAAAACATTTATACAGTGAGTTTGTTTTCATTTTGCTACGATTACCAAAAATGATTTTGATCATCTGCTTTTGTCTCTGCTGTGTAGGTGTATTTTTGTTTTAATGATTATTGGTTATATACAGTCCTCAATAATTTTCAGGATATGTATAAAGATACAGGGTTTCAATGATACGTTATTGAATGAAGTTGGTCCTACTGGTCCATTTAGACTGTCTATAAAACATCTAACAAGACTAGGATTTAAAGTAATTGTGGTATGTAGTCATTCTAGGTTTTTTATCATTAATTTGATATAAGTTTAATCATCTACGCTTGACCAAAAGGTACAGTTGATGTTAAGCTAAAATGATTAAAAAGTATAACTCTTTCTTGCAACCCTTTCAGATGTTCAGTTTGGGGCTCTTGTCTATATGCGCTTCCATAGAGCAGCCATGGTTATCCTCGTTCCCTGTTAAGTCAGTCTGCCCTCTGTATGTATCCTTAGTCTCGGGGAGGTTGGTGCTGGCTATGGCCGCCTTATCTTTCAGATTTTTCAATGGATTGAGAATTCAAGAAAAGTCTGTATTATTTGCATTGAGGATAAAGTATAGAAATGCTTATTGCAAATTAGCATTTATCAACTCAGTTTTCAACTTCAAACTGGGGCAATTGCTAATTAAAACACAAATTGGAATGTATTATATTCATAAATGACGATTATTTTCAGATTTTGTTCATGAAACTTATGACATAATGAATTAATTTTCTTTTTTTTATTTCTAGGTTCCCTATCAATTATTTTCAAGCAAGGACACAACAGGTATTCAAACATTCATTAAACATGAAATTGATAAAATAGGTATTGTTAATTGTTAAAGGTATATATTGCAAATGTAAATTATTGTAGTTTTTGTAATTTAAAGTTTTATTATATATTGAAAATTTCATTGTAAATATATAGTGTGCTTTTTGGTATTAAAAATATTATTATTTCGTCCTTTGGTCCACAATTAAGGTGGAAATAAACGACTTGGATGTGGGATGATCGATACAGTAGAAAATAGAACAAGTGAACACACGAGGCTCGGACTTGGTTTGGACACGATTCACTTCTACTATCTTCTACTGTATGGATAATCCTACACCGTTCATCATTTATTCCCACCTTTATGTCTATCTATATTGATGTCTATCTCATGTCTATATAGATGTCTGTCCATGATTTTCATATTATAACTGCGTTTCTATTAGTAATTTTTTTGGAACCCAAATCTCTGCACAACATAATAACAAATTATCAGTAACATCACTGTGGAATTAATTTTTTTAACGGAAAATTTTCAAAGGTTATGCACAAATAGGATCATTGGCAGCTTTGTCGCAATAAAAACATTTTATATTATCAATCAAGACAACAATTATATATTGAACCTTTCATACATTATTTTAGAACTTATAATTTCACAAGTTTCGTCCATATTCAACATGAACTGTGCCTTTCAAAAGCTAATAATTGGATGCATTACAAAGGCAGTGAATTATGTTCATTATAGTAATTTAAAGGACAGTTTAAAAATAAATTAGTTGTGGTCTCGAGCTTATAGATAGTAATCGAAGGGGAGGTATTGTACCGCTGTTCTCCCTTTGACGCCTTCAAATTAGGTACTTTTTGTTCCGCTGAATTAAAAAGCTTTGAGCTACATTTAAATAATTGGCCATTATCAGTCTAATCAGTTTTTTGTGACACCATGCTAATGAAGAAAGAAAACAATTATGGGACTTCCACGAATCGGAAAAGTGTTGACTCTTTTCTTTTCAGAATACTTTAGGAAGCTTTGCCTTGTCCTCACTCAATACCGGTTGTGATATAGATAGAGGAGGCGTATCCATCAAATGCTTATTCTAAGTTATGGTGCTCGACTTTCTGAGCTAAAGGACATTTGTGTGGTCGGGACAACTTAAAGGGACATTTGCACCAATTTATGACCAATCGTAGGTTTTTTTTTTAGCCATATAAGCCAATCAGTAATAGTGTTAAGAGCTCGCCGTCGAAATTTAAGGCTCAAATCCATTATGTCTCCAGAATAATACTTTACATTAATTCAAAACTCAAGTCAACCGCTCAAAATCAAAATAGCGCAATGTCCCTTTAACCAGAGTAGCCCAAAGACTTTGGATCAACCATTTTTTATTGTCTAAAAGGGCATTCCTTTAAATTGAAAACTAAACAGTTAATAAATGAAAACACAATGTAACCATTTTATATTTTAATAGGTTTCCCTCAAATATGAAACGTAAAAATGAAATACTCGTAAACGTCATTAAGTCTGAACTATCTTTCCATCTGTTTACTGTGGGCTAATCTTTCACACAATTTTATCAACTTTCTTTAAGAAGCTGTTAAGCAACCCAACAGGAAATAGCTTACAAAGATAGCAACAAAAATATAATCATTAACACAGTACATATATATTAGAGCCGGTCAAAGATATGTATGTACATTGTTTTACTTGTTTTCAATTAGGCCTATAGTATTTAAACCGTGGGTGTATTACTACTGAAACCCTTTTAAAATGATGTTCTGTGTTTTGAATTATTACAAGATGTACATAAATATCAGTGTCCTACTCCTCAGAAGTAAGCTTTATCGAAGCTTTCTGTCATAAAATTTCTTTCAAAACGACTAATTAAATTTTCGTCAACGTTCAGTTCCCATTTACTGGACACCATCACGAGAGGCGTGTTATTGAACGTAGATGAAGGTGAATTTACCTATAGATCGAAATCTCATTTGGTTGATACACCTCATAATATCGTGCTATGGAATGTGAAAAATGAGAATCTCGCTATAATAAAGAAAACATGAGTATAAAAAAGCATGAGCAAACCCACATTAAGACATGATAAAACGAATTAAAATTAAAATATTATGATAAACTGCATGGACGAGAGTCTTATCACAGACAAAAAATTGATGGTTTGAAAAATGATAACGTACTCGATAACGAAATAAATTATATTATGTATTAAAACCACGCTGAAAAATTCACTGATGTAGGACATGATTTGGGATAAGTCAAACAGCTTAATTTAATGTTTAACTCGCATTCAGTTCAGTTTTCAAATTGTTATTCAGAAAAAAAAGTTCTATCAGTAATAATTCGAACTGATAAATTTGTTGAACAAAGCACATTTTTTGTCAAAATAGGTTGAAATTTGTACAGCTGTCATCTAAATATTTGTTATCAATAAACATTAGCTCGATATGTCAATTATGTCGTAAAGTATGTGGTGCAATGTGGCGTCACCAAACAGAAATCAATAATTTCAAGGCAGGTATTATAGCGTCAATATTTCAAAATCTAAATAATCATGAATCTGGTGTTACATTCTAGTTTAATTTTCTTTTTTCTTTTCTTTTCTTTTTTTTTTTTTTGTTGTTGATTTTTTGACATTGTTGAATAAAAAAATTGACAAACTATATACAATTTGAATGCAAGCCTAAAAGTCAAAACTAACATTCAACAAAAGAAGACAATCAAAAATATATGTTAGTTCTGGCAGGTGGAAATTGTTTGGTTGCGTATGAATTCTGAAAGGATCTAAGAAAAAGGTTATAATCAACATTCAATTAATGTAGAAAGTACTAGAAACCGATATAGTTATGAAATACGGTGAGGTTTCTTGAGCAATGTTGTTCCTAGGATCAGTAATCCGTCAGCTGATGATTCAACATGCTTTAGATGTAGCTTAAAGGCAAATATCAAATAACACAATAATGAGAAAGTCTACATTAGTTTATCTATGCAAGTCGGGTCTATTAACTGTAAGTCTATACGATATGACATAATTATATGAGCTTATCTGATCGTTGGCAATGGTTTGAATTCATGTATGCTAATATTATTGTAGGCGAACAGTAATGTTATAAATCTTATTAAAAGAAAGATTTCGCCTAATTCTAGATCAATACCTAAAAAGGTCCGACTTGATATCAACATACATAACTATACACTATACAACTATCCATTGTCTTCTAAATAAAAATTACATGAATATCCAATACTGAATGTCCACCGAAATAAAGCTGATGGCAGAAAAGTTCTTCAACTCCTGTAAATTTATTTATGAACTATTTCAAATTATATTGAAAACCACAAACTATCCCACAGTCACAATATGTGTAAAAATGCACCACAAGAATATATATGAATATATCACAAACATTTCAAAAAGTATTAAGCGAGTTGTTGTTGTCGAAATTGGTTTGGTTCCTGTCGGAACTGTTGTGGTCTCTTGCCACCAATGACCAAAGGTAAGTAAGTATTACAAAAAAATGTTAGTCCTTGTTGTGTGTTCATAGATTTGCCTATTTCCACTGGGTGTAAAAATGTCAATGTTTGGTCGAATGATAGATGGAAATTGTCCTTTTCAGTTGTTTTCCATAAGTATTTACCATTTAATGGTATCATATTGTCTTTCAGATCTAATCCAGATATAAGGGTAGGGATTACTATTTCGTGTAAAACATTGTGCTGAGAGAATATGTCCAAATATCTGATAGCCTTTTCAGAAACTGTATTGGGAATGTAAATAACATCAGATGGTCCAACAAACACACCATCTTCCATCTTAGTATTGTCATGCAAATTTCTTATAAATTCTTTCTGGAATGTTTCAGCCAGCAGAGAATCACTCTTAATCTTTTCACTTAAATCTAACCAGGCTTTGTTCACGGCAGTTTTTCCAAATTCGCTAACCCAGCCATCCCAAGACGGCATTTGATCAGCTTGTCGAGAAACAGGTCTCAATAACTTAGAGTGATCAAACCATAGTTTCTTTCTGTCAGTCATCGTGTCGAAAATCCAAGGATTGATTAAGGTGTCACTTCCAATCATAAGGAAACCATTGAGCCTGTACTTCATCTTCATCACTTGAGAAATACATCTGTAGCTGAAGAAACCGGATTCTATTTTCGCCTCAACAAATGTAATTGGCTCTGAAAAAGATTTTGATCTCCTTTGATATTCAGAAAAGTCGCTACCACAATAAGCAATATGTGGGAATTTAGATCCATATAGTGTGTTCAGCTTTGGGATGATTTCGTAATTAGAGGTTTTAAATACGACAATAAGGACAATGTCTGAATGTACTGGTTGTTGGACGGAACGATCTGCTATAGGAAATCTGAGTGGGTGGCAGGTTTTTAGTACTCTCTCTACGTGGCTCCAGTAGGAGGTTACAATATATTTACTCTTATAATACATTGGTGGGAACATTTCTCTAGCGGTGAAAGTTAATTTCGTTTCATCTGTGTTGGACTGCTGAATTGATCCCTGTTGTAACATTGTAAATGGCACACGTTGTGGTTCTTTGTATCCAATCTTCTGTAAGTCAACGATCCAAGCTTTGATCAAATCGACATCGCCATTTTTCCAGAATTCCTTATCTCTCATATGTTCTGTCAAACTAATTACACATTTAAAGAAAGAATAAGACTCGTCACACTTCCAAGCTAACAGAGCATCAAATAAATCGTGAGTCTTGAAGTAAAGATATTCCTCATCAATGGCATCTACTACATACGAATGGGAATTGCGCTTCTGAAAAGCATTAGGACCAAAGAATCCAACACTGGCCCCAATCTCCCACAGTAATCTCTGTGCCCAATATCCTCTCCATATATCACACACCCTAAATGTAACAGTCTGTGGAATGACCAATGACCATAAAGCATCGTAAAGGAAAAAAGTGTTTTGGGAATTGTACGGTGCCAATACACCAGGGGGAACAATGACGGGCGGAGCTTCGCCATCAAATGATACATTCAACATTTCTGTGGTGGTTTTTCTGGTAAGTCGGAACATGGCGCCCATATCAGGATCGCCATTTACTACTCCTTGTTGAACTGATGGAGTTTTATACAGGCCTAGTCTGTAATTATCGGTGTAGTTTTCATTTCCAACAAAACCAAGGGGATAACCACGTGGCCATAAAGTCGGCTGTCCAAAATGTCGATAGGGGTTGAAGAAATTCTGTCCAACAAATTTCAAACCAGTAGTTTTTGCTTCGTAAATAAAGTTTTTCAGATGATCCAGGGGCCTATTGTCATCATCAGTTTCATACAGAATTTTAGCACCATGCTGTAAGGCATACAGATAAGCAGCGTTCTTCCTAGAGTAAGCTTTGGTTTTCAACAGCTTCACAGTTTCAAAACCCAATGCATTCTGTTTGTCGACGCTTAGGTAATGAATGTTACCAAATCTAGAATGAGAAAATGATATGATTTACAAATAAGATGAGTGCATATCTAATAATTCAAAGACGGACCAAATAGTTAAGATTATAACCATGGATAGACGTTTAGCATCAAAGTGCAAAACAAATAAAAAGACAATGAAAGACAGCAGATGCGAACGTTTTTCCTTCAAACATACTCTATAAGAATTTATATCGTTTTGTTATATATCATATCTTGTCGAAATTGTATTTCAAAGGTGATTAAGTTGTTATCCAACAAAGGTTACCAAAATTTATTAACTTTTTAAAGTGATCCTTTGTACATTACCAAACCCGCATCCATACTGAAATGAGAAGATTTTGCAATTTTTGAAAAATGCGTAATGAAATGTGTAATCAACACTTACTGCCAATCCGGAGGAGTTTTAGTATCACCAGCTACAACTATATTCCAATCCTCTAACTGAGCTAAAAACTTAACATCTTCTGTTGGATATTGTATAGTAGTCAGTACTATCCACTTATCAGATTTAGAATTAGTTGATTGTGCATTATTCTGTGTCTGTGATTGAGGGTTCCAACTATTTACTGCTGGGCTGTCCCCGTGCTCTTGTGGGTTGTCTAGTTTAGGTTGCTGGTTTTCTCTACTTGTATGAGGAGTGTCAAACAGTACCTTCTTCTCCATTAAGTTTCCATTTTTGAATCTGTTATTGGAATCTTGGTCCCTGTTGGTGGAATCTTGAACCTGCTCCTTGTTCGAAGGAATATCTTGCCGTATGTCGGTATTGTCTATATTCAGATCATTCATTGATTTAGGTCTGCTTTGGAAGGATGTTACATCTTTATCAAATGTTGGTAGATTGTTTTTAAGTTTACGGAGTCTTTCGTCTTGATCCAATCTGTTGAACAATCTTTCACTAAATTTGTCCCGATTGTTGCTTATAAGATTTCTTGATTGCAAGCCATTGGCGCTGAAAGTGAAAGGAACGTAATAGTGTTAGTCATATGAAACTGTCGCGTTCATCCAGTTTGCAGATTGACACACAGCGTTGAAACAGCCATTGTTCAAATCAATATACCAATGGAAGTTAAATCTAATTTACAAGTCTTCAAATGACATTAAGCACTTTTAAGTACGATATATAGACACGGCTTTATGGAACAAAAATCACTCAAGTTTCGTGGAACGTTTCTAGTCGTTTCCATCGTCGTCCTCGGACACGTATTAAGACACATAGTGATTCTCCTTAATGTGGGATTAGGGGGTCAGTTAAAGAGGTGTGTACAGGAAACCTACAAATCAGTATGTAAAAAGGGCAACTATCAAGGGCCGCCAAGAGACTACATGAAGCTACTCTATCAGAAGATACCTTCAAATTTTATAAACCAATTTAAGTTAAGATTATCAGATGTTAATGTACAAAATCTATCTGAGAGCCTGACAGACCGTCAAAGCCTAGAACATTATGGGTCTTTCAAACTGAATATTGACCAAGCTGACTATCTAACTTTGGATCTAAGTAGACATGTTAAGAGAAATTTAACTAGAGTATTCTATTTAGTGATTCTATTTAGTGGTTCTTATTTCGAAACATTGCTATCTTTCCATCATCACACATTATAATATTGCACTTTATTGATATATGTATATATGGGTCGTAGACCTAAATACTGTTAATAAAGATTATTTATTTATTTATCAGAAGATACCAGCCTGACCTAGACAGAGACAACGATGCAACTTATGCATTTCATAATGTTATCGACCCGTGATTGTCTGTTCGTCACTTTTTAACGCTGTACCTGTGCACGACGGTAGAATCAATTACGTCAAACGTTGCATTAAACTATAACCAGTTAGTGGTGTGCCTGTTGTTTTAATATAGACATGTGATATGATGTATAGCCACCATATAAAATTTTTATCAAAACAAACTGTTCAAATAATTATGTAGTATTAGCTAATGGACTAGAACATTAATGACTACTATTCAAAATTATACAAGATTACGTATATTGAACTAGATAACAGTTATCAGACAATAGTATTTACTCTCCATTGTTAATAAATAAGTGTTTCTTTTATATATTTATCAGTACGTACCTCTCTACGTCAGTTGCACTGCTTGAAGAGAACATAGCCCAATACATAAATAGGACAAGAAAAGACATGACCACAATTGATGATATACGATAATAGTTGCACCTAAATCTGCTACCCTTTTTCATACTATCAGACCCTGAAAAACAAAGAAAATCACATAAGTATAATTCGAAATAACATGTGTAATTGTGTAATCGAATCAGTACATTTTGTGCAAGTAGAAAACAACTCTGACCAGCAAGAGTAGGATTTAAAAATGTTAGGCCAGAAATTTACGATAAACATAAAATTAGACGCGTTAGGCGTGGCAGTACTACTTTCTTTATTTCGCTACCCGAAAACACCACACCCCGCCGTTCAACACCTAAATTTAACAAATACAATATCGCGTTTGTGCGCGTATAAAGTTCGTTTGAAATCCTACCTTCGGTCATCGCTCTACAATGAAAAAATAAAAAGTTTACAGCAAGGAATGATGTCCACACTCAAATAAATGTTAAAAATATACACAACTTAAAACAGTATGATGAGATTAAAACAGTTTGACACGTATTGTACTAGTACACTAAATTCAGTTATGTTGAAACAGATGTCACAGTAAACCATTAAATTTATAATAAAAAAAAATTGTATTCCTTCAGATTAAACATTGAACTTTATTACATAATATTTTCTTAGTTCGGATACTGGACATGGATTATAGGTTACTATAAACATAATAAAATACAGCAAGATCCCAGAGTTCTTAGTTCAGATACTGGACAGACATTGATTATAGGTTACTATAAACATAATAAAATACAGCAAGATCCCTGAGTTCTTAGTTCAGATACTGGACAGACATTGATTATAGGTTACTATAAACATAATAAAATACAGCAAGATCCCAGAGTTCTTAGTTCAGATACTGGACAGACATTGATTATAGGTTACTATAAACATAATAAAATACAGCAAGATCCCAGAGTTCTTAGTTCAGATACTGGACAGACATTGATTATAGGTTACTATAAACATAATAAAATACAGCAAGATCCCAGAGTTCTTAGTTCAGATACTGGACAGACATTGATTATAGGTTACTATAAACATAATAAAATACAGCAAGGTCCCAGAGTTCTTAGTTCAGATACTGGACATTGATTATAGGTTACTATAAACATAATAAAATACAGCAAGGTCCAAGAGTTCTTAGTTCAGATACTGGACATTGATTATGGGTTACTATAAACATAATAAAATACAGCAAGATCCCAGAGTTCTTAGTTCAGATACTGGACATTGATTATTGGTTACTATAAACATAATAAAATACAGCAAGATCCCAGAGTTCTTAGTTCAGATACTGGACAGACATTGATTATAGGTTACTATAAACATAATAAAATACAGCAAGGTCCCAGAGTTCTTAGTTCAGATACTGGACATTGATTATAGGTTACTATAAACATAATATAATACAGCAAGGTCCCAGAGTTCTTAGTTCAGATACTGGACATTGATTATAGGTTACTATAAACATAATAAAATACAGCAAGGTCTTAGAGTTCTTAGTTCAGATACTGGACATTGATTATAGGTTACTATAAACATAATATAATACAGCAAGGTCTTAGAGTTCTTAGTTCAGATACTTGACATTGATTATAGGTTACTATAAACATAATAAAATACAGCAAGATCCCAGAGTTCTTAGTTCAGATACTGGACATTGATTATAGGTTACTATAAACATAATAAAATACAGCAAGATCCAAGAGTTCTTAGTTCAGATACTGGACAGACATTGATTATAGGTTACTATAAACATAATAAAATACAGCAAGATCCCAGAGTTCTTAGTTCAGATACTGGACAGACATTGATTATAGGTTACTATAAACATAATATAATACAATATATAATAAATTCAACCTTTGTGAAAGTATATAATTTTTAAAATTATCTAAATCTATATCGATCTATTTGACAGAATAAAAACGGCTGCAGTTACGCTAATAAGCTTATGTCGGTTTTACACCCACTATTGTGAAACGTGCTTCGGTTCAGTAGTGTTAATTTAGATTTTCATATTATCTTGTAGCTTATGTATGAAATTGCTTTATCGTATTATTCTATTTCAAAACCTTATTATTTCTTCATTCTGAACGACAGATAATCATTACCTTTACCATTGTATAAGTATTCATATAACAAAAAACATCCTTACCCTGCGCTTTACAAAATACCAAAACATTCCTTAAAATACCCACGGTATGGTAAATCCGCATGTTTTCTTAATAAACAACAAACTGTTTCAAGGCCTAAAGAGATGCCTTACTCAGATTTTCATTTCGCAATGGCCTTTAAGCTTCTTTATTTTGTACATGAATTAAATTTGGTAGTATTCAATAGACGACTATGAGTTTTCTAACAAGTGATGGTTTGTATGTCACGGACTAGATGGCTTTCTCAATGCATTCATCATCTTTCATACCCATTTAACACAATGAATTTAAAGGCTTGTATACAAAGTTAGTGGCCTATGATATTTAGTATGTCTACTGAAACTAGTGAACCAGGGATAGACAGAAAACTATACTGACAAGCAAATTGTTGTCAGTCAGCCTGGTCTATCGTTAATAATCGAAACGATTGATTGCTCAAAAACATCAAAATATCCAAAGTCATTTACAATATTAAATGGCCAACTACCTAAAGTTCAACAACTATCCGATTACAAATATACCGTAAAAATCAATTTTCGTTTCAGTGAATTTTTTACATTGACAATTTTCAGATATGTCAATAATCAATCACTCCATGACCTTTTGAATTCAAAGGCCAAAAGATAATTACAAAAATGGCTTATCCAAAACAGCTTCTGATACATGTTTTGATGGTCATCGACATCAGTCCATGTCAATTGAGAGCAACATTATCTTTAAGAGGTTGGAATGAGTAAGCAAATGCCGGACTATAGAGTCAAAATGTGATCAAACATGTCTCCTTTAGAGCGTTTCCATACTTTTTCGAATAAAATTATTGTTGAAACTAACAAAATAGAACAAACAGCTGAGTACATCGAGAATATTAATTGAAGAATTCGTTGTGAAAAACAAGCTAGAGATTTCAGAGTTATTTTAAGAGTAAATGTTTACAAGATCGGCCTTGCCAGCCGGTATCACGCTGTGAAACTGAACTTATTTATATATTTTACATAGTTCCTTTTCTCAAGAGTATACTATATACTCCCTAATACATATAAATACTTAAACAAATACCATCATAACATTTTTAACCTACAATTCTTTTCTTTCTCTATTCATGTATTGCGACTTCAACTCTTTAATCTCACTGGGAATTTTTTACTAACTCAATCAATGCATTTACAAACAATTTAAGGATATGAAGAATGAAATATGAATATAAAATTGTTTATGAAGTAATTTGTTCATTGATTTAACATATGGCAAATTAGAAATTACTCGTTTCTCAATTTGTCACACATGAAGCGAATTCAGTATAAACACATATACAAGTTATTTTATATATTAATGTAATGTGAACACTCGATCTATATAATATGATGTCAAGTAACATGCGCTTCAACACGTTCAGAGAATGATGATCTAAACCTGTAGATTATTTGGACTAGATAATTATGTTATTGGCTATGCTCTCGTAACAATTCATAATTATATGACTTACTAATCATTATTAATTTCCTGATGACGGTGTGAGAACCACATTAAAACGTTGAAGTAATAAATATTCTAGAAGTATCTATCCATAAATTGTCTTATTTAGATATGACTACCATTAATTATTTGTAACAAAAACAGAACAAAACAAAGCCCTAATGTATGTGGCCCTGCCTGTCACGTATAGCCTATAACGTTTATGGAGATTTTTTTTGTTAATAATCAATGAAAGACAGCATAGTTTATCTTGATCACAAAATATTAAAAATGGTCAAATAGTAAATTTTGGATTAAGTCCCACATACAGGCCTTCAACTAAGATAAGTATCTGTACTTACTTATATACCTATACCTGTATCATACTTGTAATGTGAATAACGGTCTACCTGTTAAATACAGTCGTAATATACAAGGATATAATCATATAATGCATACATAATATAAAATAACTTACCTGGCATGACATACAAGGTTCACCCCTTTCACCTGAATAATTCGTTATTGATATTTAAAATACCCATATATCTGTTAAAATCTTCCTAATTCCTAATGTAGGTCAGGCTAAACCAAATCGTAGTAACGATACGCTTCAATTCATCTCTCTCATGTCTTTTTAAGACACACCTTTCTGTCACGTGATATATCTTATCTCGTTAAAACATTTCGATAGATCCTTATAAATTATTCATCAAATTTGTTTGATTGTCCAGTCCTAATGGAGATTCAATACAATTGCAGCAAATAGCCTCAAACGATCGGGTCTATCATTAGGATGAAAATTGATTTACCGTTACTATAACAACCAGGTGGAATGGTGGAGATCAGGAGATCTCCGTGACAACAACAATAGCAAATACAAATCGAAATGAATCGCCCTTGAATGTCTGCATACCACAGTGATCAAACTAAACCATTCCAATCAGAGTCAGTTATAACTTCAAGAAATAAGATATCGTCTTATATATGTCTTGACAGAAGAATTCTATTTATAAGTAGGCCCTAATCAAGAACTCGAAACCACCAGACGTAGATTGCGTTAATATTAGTCAGCGTGATAAATACTAATTGAAAGTTTTAAACCGTGACAAAATATAGTTAATCCCGTTATAGAATGAGGGGATTAAAATATAATCTTCGTAATGGTATAATAAATCTCATTATTTAAGGTGTTAAACTACACACAATAACCAACTAAAACACTACTGGTCTAATGAAATGTTAACCGTAAAAATTAGACGTGGCAGCCTGAACAACAGTTCACAAGTATCTTGCAATGCGTCGTTGGTTCGAAAAGACGACAAGTCAGTTGAAAACAGAGTGAATAGACCGAATGTTAAAAAATGTTAACGATCAAGTGGAGAATAATCACCGACTACATGGTTTTTAGATCTGCTCGGGCAAAGGACCAGATCTCATTTTTTTCCCGGAAAAATTGGTCGCAACTCAGTAGGCTACTAAATCTGGCAATTTTACCTAAACCCATATACCACGAGTTGCTAAAAGTCTTTGAAAGTAAAATATTCTGTTCTGGCAGAGATTATCTTTAGCCCATGTATGAAAGGAAAACGGCTTCAGAATGATCATATCTACAACAAAAATTGGTCAGGAGGGAGACTCTAGGATTATGAAGGCTACATCCAAAGACAGGCCATAGATATAACTAATCTAAAATACGAAATGGTCCCCCCCCCCCCTTTTTTGACAATTCTATGGCCTATAGTTCTCCTCCTCACAACTGCAGTCCGGAATCA